ATTTGATTTGAACGTATTTAGAGAGAAACACAAACACACGTCGTCTCTCTCCCGGCACATTAGACACTATTCCTCCTTTAGTTTCCCGACCCTCCATTGATCCGCGTGTGCCGTGTTGAAGCGGCTGTGGCATTAGCGGGACCTGATCACCTGCTGAGCCCTCGGGCGCTCGGGAGACACGGGAGCGGCCGGAGAGCAGGGTCGATGCGGCAGCGGTCAGTGTGTGTGTGTGTGTGTGTGTGTGTGGATCAATGCGTGTGGTCACCGCCTTATTGTTCACATTAGACACGACACAAACATTTGAGCTGTCCGATAGGATCACTCAGTCTCCACACGTCCAGATCCAGACGGGACGAGAGGAAAAAGAGCTGCACGAGTACAAGAACAAGAGCAGGATCTGACACATAATGAAACCTGAAGAGGGACATTTGGTATATTTAAGATTTTGATACAAATCTAAAGAGCTTATCGAAGTTTTTTGGTTTAAATTTGACTTCCGCAATGGAAAAGGAACTAAGACTCCTCCTTATTTGAGGAATAACAATAACAAAAACACCTTTATTTTGTTGAAATCTTGTTTAAAGTATCAGAGAAAAACAGTTTCTCGCGTGTAAAATTTCGCTTTTGGATAGAATTCTTGCAAATGTGAGATCACCAAATTGTTTAGAACTCTCCACGTCCTGTAACTTTTAACATATTTAAAATTTTTCTTCCTAAATTGCTTCTTGATTAGTGTAAAACTATAATTTATATTCTAGAGTACCATATTTTTTGGACTATAAGTGGCACTTTTTTTTATGGTTTGGGTTAGGGATGGGCATTCGATGAAATTTTCTTAATTGATCGTCGGAAGAATTAACGATCGATTATCAATTAATCATTAACGTTTTTATATTAAAATGATCATCATTATTATTACTATCTGCACTACTAATCTGCATAAATAAATTCAACTTTACGACATATAAACCGTAACGACTCTAGAGCCACATCAGCCCGTTTATTATAATGTGTTTAATTCAGTTTTGTGCAACTCTCACAGAAACGAAACTTAAAACCACATCGCTAATTTGCATAAACTCAGCGAAGATAAAACTACAGCTCTTGTGTCACTGATGCGGTTCAACTTCTGTCGGATTAAAAGACACGACTCAGGTGAATACAGGTTAATGTGACCAGATTTGCGTTTGTCAAAACCAGGACAGCGTACGGGGGGAGGGAGGTGGGGACTCGTCATCCACATTGAGCGACTCTCACCTGGAAAAACTTTTTCCCACTGGACACAGAAACATATGTGCTGCTTTATACACTGTGCACATGGACTCACACTTGTCCCGAACGCAAAGGAAAGCGTGGAATTTCTTGTACAAGTCATTGTTAAATACACATTTGTGCTTCGGTACGTTGCAGACTGACCCACTGTTTGTGCCTCGCTCCTTCTGAGTGCAGAGAGACACATGTACGGACCCCCATTTGGTCACACTACGCACAGCAACCTACATTCGGTTTGTCGATTAAAATTAACGTAATTAATGTCGATGAAATTCTTAATGATCAATTATTGATTAATCGATTAATCATGCCCATCCCTAGTTTGGGTATTTCCTGCGACTTATACTCTGGTGCGACTCTTGTTCTGTTGTTTATGTTATAGTTTATCTGAAGAACTGTTCATATGTGACGTTAACAGTCTGTTTTTCTCTCTTCTATTGTTTTTACTACAACTTGACTTTCAAGGTGAAATGTCGGTTCCTGGTCTCTGATTTTATAAAATACATTTCCCCCAAAAAGTGCGATTTATATTCCTATCCCACCAAGTCAGAAATGAGACAAACCTAAAACCCTGTCACATGCACATGAACACACATGACCTGGAAGAGTGAGTCTTCAGTGATCTCAGGATCTGACCAGAAGTGACAGATCACCACAAAAAAGGCACTTTAGTACATTTATTCTGGGAATGTGAATATGTTTAACAATTTTGGAGAGATGTACACGCTGTTACCCAACAGGTTACAGGAAAAACTTTTGTCATGTCACCATCATTGTATCTGTTAAATCTTTGTCCTGACAAACTTTTTGATAATGTTACCCAGTCTATGTTAATGATTATGATGTTTCTGTGTTCTTATGAAGTGGGCAACCCCACATTTACCTACACTGGACTTATGGTTCACTCAGTTATCATCAACCATTCCCCTGGAAAAATTGACTTATGAACGAAATGGCAAACAAGATATGATTTGGAAAATACGGACACCTGTATTATTATTATTATTATTATTTATTTATTTATTTATTTTTTTCAGCGTTTGTTAAGGGTGGGTGTGGGGAGGGCGAATAGGAGGGTTTCATTCACGTGATCACGATGATGCACGAATTTCAGGTGGAGGGCAGGAAGTGAAGACAAACATGACAAACACGACTCTGGAGAACACAGATATGGAGAAGAGTTCTTATTGTAAGGATTTAGAGCCAGTAGCGAGGCAAAAGTACGAGCAGTTAGTCGACAAATATATCGGGCGTGACCCCATCTTATTGAAAATGAGAGAATTTTCAACCGAAGTAAAAGATTTGCCGACAATCGAGGCAGAGGAGATCATGAACTATTTAGCTCTTCAGACATCGTTCTACACCAGACAACAGATGAAGGCAAAGTACAAAAGTTTGGAGGCATAGAACTTTTTTTGTCAGTGGATGGGTCCTCAACCTTGGTGTAAAACGCCTAAATGATGATTATCGTTTGGTCTTCGCCGGGGTGAGTGTTTCTCTTATTTTATGTGTATAGACGTTATGGGAAAAACTGCAGTGTATCGGCATTAACCTCTATCCGAACTATTTAATGTCAACAAACGTCTTTAGCCGTTAGTCGTTAATGATTCGTTTATGTTTAGGTAAACCACAAAAAACTATTTATCTTTGTAACAAACCTTTGACAAAGTGTTCACTGCAGACACGAGCATTAGCGAATTCTGCTCCTCCCGACCGCAAACAGGTTTGTAATCCACTTTTTACGGCGTTGTTCTGTCAGTTTTTCCCATTTCTGACCTTTGTGGATGACTATATTCGGTACTCTAAAAAAATAGCTCTTCCTTCTCTCGGTTAGAACGATTGGCACAGCCGTAAACTGCACAACACATCGGCAGTTTCCTCCGGTCAGTTCACTTCCTGCCCTCCATCTGATTTTGCGTGCTGACAAATGCAGCCCTGTGACGTCACGTGAAACCCAGATATTGGGGTTTGGGAATGGGGAGGAGGGGGTTTAAATGTGGCATTTGTATACTTGTATATTCTGTGGCATTACTGTGTGGCCGTAAGACCACAATATAGGAAAAAAACAAAAATTAAATAAAATATATATGGAAAAAAAAAAAGAAGTGACAGATCACGAATTTGAATTGTAAAATCCATGAAAACACAGATCTTTAATGAGGTGGTTGGGATTCAAATCTCTAAAGTCATAAAAATATGAAGCAGCAATACCTGGAGACCTGCTGCATGTAAACGCACAGGCGCATTCGATGTGATGTAAATAAGCTGTTTCATGTCTTCTGTAGCTGCAGGGACATGGAAAGGAGCCTGCAGCTAAATCTGACACAGAGCATCTTTTCTCTTTGAGATCAATGTGACCTGTGCACTGTCCTTGTTTTAAATGCACAAATAAATAGCAAGCAGTAATAACACAAACTACACTGTGGCCACCGAGGTAGAGCTGCTGTTGTTTCCTTGGTCTGGTCTGCTATGTTAAAGTGAAAGTAAAAACTACCAAAGCTTTCAGGTATTCAATTGTTAACTGTTGTTGAGTCCTTAGGCAAGACACTTCACCCACATTGCCTAGTATGATTGTGGTGTTGGATGTCAGATGGCACAGATTGGCAGCCTCACTTCCATTAGTCAAGTGGCTTGTTAACACTGCAGGTTTCCCACTCTCTTTCACTGAGTGTGTACACATGCACATCAATAACTTGGTTATGATCGGGTTTTTTGAGTATCCTGGTTTCTTGATGGTGCATGTATACGCAGTAAACCGGTTTCAGTGTCCCGGTTATTAGAAACCGAGTTACTGTAGCTGCTTTATTCTGATAGTAACCGGGATACTGTGGCATGTAAAAGCAGTATCCCGATTACTGCAACATAAAGTTGAGTGCGCAAGCGTCCAAACGACAAACACTTTCCAGTCTTTTCACCACAACAGTAGCAACATAAATAAATAAATTGACCAACATAAATAAAGTGACCAAACGAGTGAAATGACTGTAAAATAAAAAGCTGTGCTAAACCTGCACACGTACAATCTGCACTCGTGTGATCGCTGAAAAGCTAAAACATGAACTATCTCCTATACAACACACGCACAGAACACACTTACCATCATTAGCGCCTCTTCTGTCATAAAAAGAACACTCATAATCCACTGAGTCGTGTCTTTTAGTCCGACAGAAGCTGAACCACATCAGCGGCACAAGGAGCGAGTTGTTTTTATCGCCGCTAACAGTTTATGCTAATTAGCGATGCGGTCTTAAGTTTCGTTTCTGTAAAACGTAAACAAATGTGATCAGAGCTGAATTATCTGATCAAACGTGCTGATGTGGATCTACAGTGGTTCTGGTTTATATGTTGTAAAGTTGAGTTTATTTATGCAGAAGATTTTAATGAAGAATCTGTTGGGTTTGATCTCGTAGCTCCTTAGCTTCTTATGCTAAAGGAAGCTCACGGTTTGTATATTTCCTGGTTTATGAAATTGATTTAAGTTAATTTTTGTGCTTGCGCATTTGTAAGATTATGTCAAGAAACCGGGATACTCCATTTGATCATGTATACGCGGATATGAGTGTCCCGGTTTCTCAGGGCGCATGTAAAGGCAGTAACCCGAATACTGACATAACCGGGATATGGCTAATACTGATGTGCATGTAAACGCACTCACTGACAAAATTTCACTCAGACTATGACCAGGACCGGGACCAGACCCAGCCCGAGCCCCGGCTCCGCACACCGACCTGTCTCTGGTTCTCGGTCTCCAGCCTCAGTCGCGCCTCGATGCAGCGGCGCGTCTCCAGAAAGGCCTGTCTCTGAGCGCGGTCCGACAGGTAACTGATGAAGACTCCTGCGGTGTTCACGCAGAGGAAGAGCACCGCCTGAGCTGCCACCTGACACACACAGAGAGAGAGAAAACAGTCAACAAAACCGTAAACCTGACGACTACAACACACAAAACCTCTTAGTATTGTAATGACTCTAGCAGCAACTTTAGCATTGACATAAACTCCAATATTTAACTGTAACTTTCAAAACTGGGTCAGAATGTTCTCTGTATTCCTCTGTAACGAATGCTGATTTTGATGGATTTCTTTTTTTTTTCCACTTAGTTTTGACTCTTGAGCTCAAGGTTTAATTCACTGTTCACATTTTCCTGAACAGAATCATCTAGACATAGAGTTAGACAAACTTTATTGATCCACGAGGGAAATTACTTGGACAATGGACAAAAAACCCCAAAACAAAACAATATCTAGTTAAGTTAAAATTACATTTTACTTTATTTCAGTAGATTCAACCTGACAAGTAAAATTATCTACCAATGGAATAAGTGTGTTTTCTTATTTCAAGCAACATTACATTTTGTCTCTTATCTTACATGTAAAAAATGTTGTTTTTCTTATTTCAAGTGAAGCAAGATTAGACCAGATGTCCCTATTTCCCTGGGACAGTCCCAGTTTTGAGCCCTGTGTCCCCGGTCCCAGCAGATTTATGCAAAACCTTTGATTTGTCCCAGTTTTATACAAGAAATGTCCCAGGTGTCCCTATTTTTGACCAATCTGATACAGAAAAGCTGCTTTAAAACAACCAAAACACAAAGACAATGTGACTATACTGACTCACATGTACGTCCTGAATGCAGAAACTGTTTTCCTTAATTACACATTCGTTAATTTTATTTTTATTATTACCAACCACTCCAAACCAGGGGTGTCCCAGTTTCTGATTGTGAAAATCTGGTCACGCTAAATCTAAACCAGGTCTGAAACAAGACTATCACAATTTTTACCTCCGCCAAGGAGGTTATGTTTTTGCCGGCGTTTGTTTGTTTGTTTGTTTGTCTGTTAGCAACATAACTCAAAAAGTTATGGACCGATTTTGAGGAAATTTTCAGGATTTGTTGGAAATGTGAAAAGGAAGAACTGATTTCATTTTGGGGGTGATCCGGAAGAAATCCTGGATTCTGGATCACTTTGAAATTGTAGTTAACATTGTGGTAAATGGGGCCAAAAAATTTGTTTCTCAATATCTCGGTTAATTATTGACCAAACCCCATGAAATTTGACTCAGGGATGGACAATGGGATCCTCTTTCATATTCCAAAGGCTGATCCGGATCTGATCCAGAAGACTGATTTTATCGCAATTTATATAAAAAATGGGGGTAGTCCTTGGCGGAGGTCTGCGCTCTCTGAGTGCTTTTCTAGTTACTAATCTAATGCCCTGCAACAGAAACGAGGAGCATAAATTCTCAGTTGTTAACACTGGAAAAAAACAATACCTCGGTAAGTTAAAATGACTTAACTTTATTTGAGCAGAATAATAAAATAAAATAACTGTGTTTTTTGTAATTCAAATAACATTCGATTTTGTTTCTTATTTTAAGTGCAAAAAGTTTAAGTGTAGCAAGATGTATTTTCATATTCTAAGTACAAAAAGTCTTATTCCGTAATACCGTATTACCGCCCAACCTTAGTCGCAAGAGATTTTTTTGGGGTCGCCTTGTCATGATCCACATGTAAGTTGAAACGTTAAGACATGTTTGTATAATTTCTAATCTTTTTGTAATTATTTTATTGACTATTGCTGTTTCAATTGAATGTTTAAAAGAAAAAGAAATGGGCTACATTTAAAGTCCAAATAGGCGACTTATGGATCCTTTTATTGTTGCTTCAGTGACTGTTTTTCATTGTTTAAAACTTGAGTAAAACTAATTGTTCAGAGAGACCGTTTTGATTTTGTGATTTACGAATAATGTCTGTGAAGGTTTGTGACTTTTAAAATATGGGTCCCCAGAAAAAAGTTTGAGAAACACTGAAATATGGCATAAATATTGTATATGTACAAGCTAAACTAAAGAGAAAGAGAAACAGTGCAATGATCTAATAGTTAGTCATGGCGAGATGAAGCCCCATGAAGCACTGAAGCGTTCCATCCATTTGCTCGACTCTTGCTTCATTTGCTCCACTGCGCCATCAAGTGACCAAAAAATGCATAACAGGCAAAGTGAAAATAGAACAATGGACATGATCATCGAGGTTCTGATGGAAAGATTTATACTGAATAAATGAACGAGTAAATATTTGAATGTTTGTGATTTCAACATAAAGTGTGAGTGTATTAACCTGGAGTCTGTGTTCATGATATAACGGTCGGGTTAAAAGAAAAAGTAGAAACAAGTTGGAGATCAGGATGTAATGTGACTGTGCTTGTTTGTGCTGTGTAGTTAAGGTTTACTGTCTAAATCAGACTTGGAGAAACTTATCCATGTGTTTGTCTCCAGTAGGTTAGATACTGTAATGTTCTGCTCACTGGTCTCTCCAAACGAGCTGTGAGACGCTGCAGAACATCCAGAACATCCAGAACATCCAGAACATCCAGAACGCTGCAGCTCGGGTCCTGACTCGAACTAGGAAGTACGAGCACATAAGTCCTGTGCTCAGGTCTCTGCACTGGCTCCTGTGGCTCAGAGACTTTAAAGCAGCTCTGCTTGTACAAGTCTCTCCATGACCGAGCACCAAAGTCCATCTGTGACATGTTAGTGTCATATGAACCATCTCACACTCTGAGGAGCTCAGGGACCGGCCTCCTGCTGGTGCCCAGAGTCACGACTAAACAAGGGGAGTCAGAGTTTCAGGTTCATGCAGCTAAAACCTGGAACAGTCTGAACATGTGAGACAGACTCTTCTGTGACGCTGTTTAAATCCAGACTCAAAACATTTCTGTTTAACTGTGCATATAACTGAAAGGTTTTCATTCTGCACTCTTCTCTCCAATTTATGTCTCTCTTTTTTAATTTTAATCTTCATGATTATTTATGTTTTGATTTGTTTTTATTATTATTTTAATGTATTTCTTATTCTGTAAAGCACTTTGAATTACTTTGTGTACGAATTGTGCTGTACAAATAAACTTGCCTTGCCTTGTGTTATTACTTTTATGTCTGTGCTTATGCCACAATAAGGATGGCAAAATATGGTCATTTTATTCATTTTTATATAAAAATATCAATTTCTCCACAGTATTTGGACTCAGATGGTTTCGTTTTTTTTTACAGAGAATTTCCCCTGCTTTTGAATTAAAAGAATTTCACAGTGAAACAGGCGTGCTCCATCGCCAAAAAAAAAAAAAAATCTCAAATAGAATGCACCAAACTCGCAATAACCCAAAACCACAACATGTTTTGGGTGAATCCGTTGCGTTTCTTTGGCCCTTATGTTTCGAATCGTGCCAAATCCGTGAACCACTTCCTGAACCAGTCACGTGGTACGGGCGGTTCACGAGGCTTCAAACGTCACCGATACGAACCTCGATACGCGCTTCACCAAAGACTTCCTGGATTACTCGACACGCGCTTCGAAGCCTCTCGTAACGCATCTCGTAACATCACTACTAACAGTGGTTTGGTGGTCTGTACAAAGCCAAAGTTCCCCGTGAAGTGAACGTGCGTACAGATTCCCGTCCCCGCGTTGTGCAGAATAGCTCCACTCACACTGGTGTGGCTCGTGGTGGGCCCCAGCTGTGAGGAGGTTAGTGTAACACAGGCTGATGAGCGTCGTCTCTGGGGGGCTCTGTTATTGGGCTGAGGCAGGTACAGACAGTCCTCCCCGTCCCTCGAGACCCGCCCGACACACTCCATAAATAACAGTCAGTGTGTCTCTCCATGGCTCCGTCCTCTGGCACTAGACTAACAGCGGCGGCTATACTAACACATGAGTATTCCCCGGAGAAAAGACGCAGTAACTCACTTCCCATTGTCTCTCTAAACTATCAGTAAATGACACTTTTAAGAGCGTTTATATCAGTATTTCTCTACCTGAGTCATGTCCTGTATGTTTAAAGGGACAGTTTGGAATTTTGAACATATGGCCTCATTTCCTCGTGAGCCAGAGTGTTTTTTAAATATTCCATCCAGTCCTTGTATTTGCAGAGGTCGCTAGTCTTACAAACTCCACAAATCACCCGAAGCAAATCTAGTATTACACCAGACTGTCGATGTGAATGTCTGTGCCGATAGAATAATTTTAGAAGTAAAACTAACCTTGCATTTGAAGGATTTATGTCTGAGCAGCAGCAGCGAGTGTGATAGAAAGCTCGGCAGCGGCGGCGGACTGATATATGAGAAAATAGTCCCTCAACATGCGATGATTCGTGAGATGCAAGGTTAGTTTTATTTCAGACATTATTCTATCAACACAGACATTCACATGGACAGTCTGGTGTAATAATAGATTTATTTTGGGTGTTTTGTGGAGTGGGTAAGACTGTTTTTAGTGGCAGGATAACTATGGCCATTGACATGCACTAGTCTAGCACCAGTGACCTCTGCAAATACAAGGACTGGATGGAATATTTTTAAAAAGTGTCTCCACACGTCTCCAACACTCTGGACCACTAGGAAATGAGGTCCTATGTCTAAAATTCCAAACTGTTCCTTTAAAGGGACTGTATGTTTTGGTTCTCAACATGATTATCCAATCAGGAAACAGAATGAGCATAACATGAGTCCGTCATTTGGGTTGCCAGTTTCAGTGTGATGTGATGATACAGTATCGATATCGTCGGCTGCTGTATCGATATATCGCCAAGAGTATTTTTTGGTGTGTTTTACTAAATTATTTTGTTACAGAGCTATAGTTTTGTAGCCAGGCTGGTGGTACTTTAGCCTGATTCATCAGCCGGTTTCACTTTGTGGAAACCGTCTGATCTCACAGCATTAGGATTCGTTCGCTTGACGGAAGGAGGTACTTTTTTTTATTTAACTAATCGCTGCTATTTGGTCATGATGTATATAATGTGCCACTAACAGGGCAAACTGGTATATTAAGCTTTTCCCAAATCCTATAGGAAGAAGGGCAATAACGTCTTTTCCCTTGATAAAATTCACCAAA